GATGTCATTTCTTCCACCTCTCCGGCATGAAAAGATTTCATGACAACTGACTTCTCCCAATGGCTCTCAAGGGACTCAGGTGAGTGGGCTCAGGGCCTGCCAGGTGTTTTGTACAAGTATAAACCACAGGCTGATTGACCCAAGAGGGGTTCAGCCAGGTGGTAGAATTGCTGAGGGAAAATGTGGCTCCAAGAACAAGAGGTGGCCTGGTGGTGGTGGCAGAGGTGGTGGCGCATGCCTGTAATCCCAGCACTCAGGAGGTAGAGGCAGGTGGATCTCTGAGTTTGGGGCCAGCGTGGTCTGCAGAGCGAGTTCCAGGACAGCCAGATCTACATATACAAAAACCCTGTCTAGAAAAGGGAGTGGGGGTGAGGGGAGGGAGGAAAGAGAGGGACACTATGGAGAGCTCCTCTTCCTTTGTCCCCTGGGTGAGGCAGAAAGCTAGGACCCACGGCTGCACTCCCCCCTGTATCTGAGAACTCTCTTGAAGGCAGGGAAAGGGGCGAAGGGGCGAAGGAACGGAGCTCAATGAGCTGGAGCCCACAGGCCCTTCAGCAAAATCTGACCAAGAAATGTCAGGAATAGGTCACACAGGCACTCTAGAGTAAAGCTCTAAACTGGCGCCCAAGAGGGGAAGGATGGTCGATCTCTTAACAGTCATCCCACCCCATTCTGGGTCCCAGCACCCTCCCTCACCCAGCCGTGTGGTCCAACTTGAGCCACTCGGGGCCAGCTCTGCCTGGATGCCCAGACTAAGGTCCAGTGTCCAAGATAACCGTTGGTTTCCCTACTCTGGTGTGTGAGAAGACAGCGGAGGTGACTGACTAAGAATGCGGGACAGCCACTGGGGACAAGGAAGTCCGTGCCAGCCTTTCCTTGCTTCAGGGCAAGTGTAGCAGGCTGCCAGGGTTCAGAGGGCTGCAGACATCGGGAAGGGGCAGGCTTCTCGGGAACCACACTAGCTGGAGACATGCCAATCAGAGGATCCAGGGACCTTTGTGAGAGGAGCTGGGGGTCACACTGGGTAGGTCAAGGCTCAGCCCCAGCACTTACAGCCACTTCCCTGAGTGGAATGGTTTAACCTGAAACCCAGTCTCCTCGCTGATGGAGTGGGAACAATCCAGGTTCCTCTCCAGGCACTGTGGTGAGACTTCACCAAGACCTGGGGGTGTTCTCTGCAGAGTTTCTGACCCCATCAGTGCCCAGGATTAGGAATAGGCACAGACTTGACTCCCGGAGCAAATGGAGTTTTAGGCAAAGGAGTAACCATGAGTTGGGGAAAGAGTAAAGTCACAATTCATTACTTCATTCACTTCTAACAACTGATGTTAATGCCGCCAATTATGAAGCAGGTTCTGGGACTTGTACCAAGACTCTAAAGTCTTCTAGGGCAACGAAGAGTTTCTAAGGCAGACATTAAGCAAGAGGTAAAGGGGTGGGTTGGTGAAGGTAGAGCTGTAGGAAGGGGGACCAGATGTCAAGGACAAGTGACAAAAGGTGGGGAAAGTGGTCTGTCAAGGACAGGGGTGACAATCCCAGTGAGTCACGGAAACCCAGGGAACTCAATGGTGGGGGCTCAAAGGTGGAACCCAGCAGCCTGGCTGGGAAGTTGCTACACAAATCCAGATGTGAAACAGTGGGGCAGAGAGGATGGAGCAGGTGGGTGCCTGTAAGCAGTAGAACCTGGAGACCACCACTGTTAAGGAGAAAGGGGTTCTAGGGCCACAGGAGCACACGAGGAAGGTGGGATGGGATGGGCAGGAACACGCAAACTGCAGATGAGATGCTGTGAGGTTAAAGTATGTGGGGGACATCTGGGCAGACACAGCAATCTAGGGGATACACGATACCTGTGGCCACTGCTCAACCAGCAGGCTGGAAGTACAGCATGTTCCGTTACAAAGTTATACACTCATCAACAGTGGGGCAAAGCCTTATTGCAGGGTTGGACACAGTTGAAGGACACTGAGTCAAGAACAATTTTAAAAGGCTCCGCCTCTCTCCCTGGAACTTTTCGACCCCCATCACCAATCTGGTATGTCCCCCTAAATCCACCTATGTAATCCGTACATGACAGCCAGCAGCAGCCTGTGGCTACTGACCCCCCCAAAGTGTGCTGTGTTAAGTCGAAAACAGAAATTAGATTTAGTATTTAGACTTAGAAAAAACAGGCAAGGAAATGTGTCAATTTTCATACTGGTCACATATTAAAAGGACATTTTGGATATGTTGGCATAGATCAAAATATTGTTAAAAATTAATTTCATCTGCTTTGCTTTTTTAGCATGGCTACTATAAAATGTAAAATCTCCCATGTGGATCACATTTGATCCTAGCGAGTTTTGCTGCCCTAGCATTCCCCAGTAAACACTAACGCAGCTCTTGCGGATGCCATGCCTGTCGGCACATGGACACACTAGGAGAGAGGCCTGTGTGGTTGATAGATTGTGCACCCCAATAAACTTATGTGGGGATCAGAGAACAGAACAGCCACTAGATTACCCGTAGAGGTTAGGCAGTGGTAGCACATGCCTTTAATCCTAGCATTCAGGAAGCAGAAATCCATCCAAATCTCTGTGAATTCAAGGCCACACTGGGAACAGCCAGGCAAGGTGACACACACTTTTGATCCTAGCACTTGAGATCTCATGTCTTTGTTTGGGAAGGACACAAGCCTTTAATCCCGGGAAGTGATGGCAGGGCACAGAAAGGCATATAGACGTGAGGTTTCTAAGCATTTCAATTGAGACCCTCAGGGGTGAGGACTCAGAGGCTTTCAGTCTGAGGATTCATGGAAACAGGATCGGCTGAGGAGTTGACGAGGTGAGGTTGGCTGTGGCTCCCTCTGTTGCTCTGCTCTTTCAGCGTTCACCCCAATACCTGGCTTGAGGGGTTTTTTTTGTTTGTTTGTTTATAAGACTGTTTAGCAATTCATCTTACAGACTGCCCCTCCATGGAGTTCTGGTCTGCTCTCTGTTCCAGTGTGCAAGCATCACTGAAGCTTCTCACCGGCCACACTGACCTCCGCTGTGAGACACACAGAATACGTCCCCCCAGTCCATGCTGGGCTCCTTATGTCCATCTCTTCTTTTTGTCCTATAGCTTTCTATTAGTCTTTTAGTTTTTTTAGCTAGCATACAGCACATCAGGTTTCACGATGGCGCTCTCGGACAGACCTGTCAGCATATTCCACTTCCATCTTCTCTCCTCTCTCAGTCCCCTTCCTCCCTCCAAATACACACTTTCTTTTGCTTTTCTTTTTGTTTAAAGACTTAGTCTTTTTAGTAAAAAATTTATTACGTGTGTGTGTGTGTGTGTGTGTGTGTGTGTGTGTGTGTGTGTGTGTCTGCACGAGTGTGCCATAGCGCATATGTGGAGGTCAGAGGACAGACGTAGGGAGTCAGTTCTCTCAACTCCTTCTCCAGGGGTCCTGGACACGGAAAGCATCATCAGTCAGGCTCCCCAGCAAGCACTGCCGCCCTTCCGCCAGGTACCACGTGCTTTTTCAAGTCCTGCTAGAACATCCTCAGACTGCCTGCTGTGTGGACTGGAGATCCAGGAACAGGAAGGGGGGGAGGGTGACGCAGGTGTGCACCACAGTGCACAGGCCACATTTGGAAGGCTCCTTCGGCCCTGCTGAGATGTGGGCTTTATCTTGCAGTTAGCCACAGATGTTCCATCCCTTCATTTAAAAATCAGCACAGTTTTATGAAGACCTGAATTTGATTCCAGAACCCACTTTAAAAAAAAAAAAAAAAAAAGCCAGGTGTTGGCCGGGTGTGGTAGCACCTGTCAAAGGAAACTGTCCCCATCAACTGCAAATCTTTGACTTCTTCAGCTTCCATCTGTCTACTCCTTAGAGCCCAGCCTTAGGAAAATAGCTCATATCCCTCCACGCCTATTTATTACAAGCTCCCACTTACATCAGCTTCCACCCTGTCACCTGGCGCAGACAGACCCAGCACTCAATGCCTGGGCTGGCCTCCTCCACCTCTGTGCTCTTTCCCATGACACTCCTGCCCTCCTGGTGAACCCCAGAACTCTCTGGTGAGCTCCAGGCCTTACCCCCAACCAGACAGATACAAATACTCTTGGATCCAAATACAGACATCTCTGCCATCAACGACCACACCCTGCCCATCCTTCAGCCCTCCACTACTTGTCCCTCCCCACTCAGCCACCAACGCTCTGCCTCACACTCCAATAACTCCTGGCCCCTAACTGGATTTCTAGTCATGACCTCCCACCCAGCCACCATGTCTAGGTCCAAAGTTCAATCTGAGTAATTCCACTTTTTTTCCAAATGGAGTTACGCCAACACCCTCTCACAAAATCTTTCTATAATGGGAGTTCCCTGGGTGCACTGGTGTTTCCTTATTGGAGGCTGCCCTTCCCAAACATCTCTATCTAAAAGTTCTCTGAAGCTGGTTTACAGGTCCACTCCTCCAGGATGTCCCGGAAAGCCTCCTGACTTCCTCCTTCCCCTCCCAAGCTGATGTACAACACCCTGACTAGTCCTTGTGTGTAGCCTCTTCCCGGGGTTCACTGTGCAGAGCTCTGTTCTCACTCCACCTTCCTCCATGTGACCACATCATCCTCACCCCCCATCCTGAAGACGGCTTTTCCGACTGTCTCACTTACCCTGACATCTTGGACCCAGCACAAAGTTTGGTGCCACACTGTGACCAAAATATAATGCCAAGAGCCAAGCAGACGCTGACCAACATCTTGACCTGGGGCTGTCAACCCACGGGTACTGAAAGCTAAGTAGCTCCCCCAAAGCCCAGGACTCCAGCAGCAAGCCAGGAGTCCCCTTTCTCACACGGTATGCTGGCAGCCTGGCTATTTTTATCATAGCTTTTGTTTTTTGTAATCATTTTATAAACAAAACCTGCTACTGGGTTCTAATTTGTATGTCTTTGCCTAGTACTAAGGCTGAACATTTTTCCATGTATTTGACTACTAAATGCATTTTTCCCCTTTGGGGATTTAGCTGCTGATGTGACACAAGCCTTGCTCCCAGAGGTTGGTCTTTTAGGAGATGGCTCTCGGGGTTGAATGGGGATCGAGCCGGCCAGGGTCACATGGAGGCTACAGAAAACAGGAAGGACAGAGACAAAGAGGCCAAGGGAAGCCAACCTGGGGACTACCACGGTAGGTGAGCATGGGGGCAGGGGTGGGGCTGCTTGCAGGTAAGAGGGTACCCACACCTGCTTTGAGCAAATCCTAGGTTCATAGGTGTGGAGCCATTCCAAGTGATAAGGGAAGCTGATAAGAGGTGGCCTTCCTGAAAGAGGCCATAGAAACTGGCAGGGGAGTTACAGGGCAGGCAGAGACTAGAGATAAGAGATTATCAGAAGTGACCTTAAGTAGGAAGCTTTATCAGTGTGTGCCTTTAGCAGCTGAAGTTCAGCGAGTTCTGGTCATCTTGCTGATATTGAGTCCAAGTTCAGGTTCAGCCTCCAAGGATGCTAGTCTCATTACTTCATCTCACAAATGAAGACTGATGCCCAGAGGGCCAGCCTTGCTAGTAAAAGGTGACCAGAGTTCCAAACAGGCACCCGGTCCCCATATGTGTTCTTTCCTATGGGGCTCTTACAGAAGACAGCTAACCATGAACAAATCTCAATGCCCAATCCCTCCAAGCCAGGACCTTTGAGCTTGGTGGGAGGAAGAGTAACCCGGGGAGAACAGGCCACCACTGACATGCCCCCCCCCGCCCCGCCGCCGCCGCCCTCCCCACTACCAAACCACAAATTCTTTTCTCTTCTTGGACTTTCACCCTGTAAGATCAGCCTCACCCTAACTCATTACGCACAGCAAACTCGAATGCTGCTATTCTCCAAGCCCACCTAATTCATACCCTGCCACACTGCTGTCCAAACCAAACTCCAGACTCAGTGCTCCTTAGATCCTGCTAGGCAGATGAGCTGCTCCAACCTAAGGCATGAGGGGCAGCTGGAGAAGAGGGTGAGAGCTTCTTTAAGTACTGAGATGAAGCGGGGGTGAGGGGGGGGTGTAGAGGGGCTGCAGCTCAATGATAGTATGCTATCTAATGTGTGGGGCCCTGGGTTTGATCCCCAGCACTGTAAAGACATGTTGTCTTTAAACTCTGAGAGATAATTAATGTGTTATATATTATCAGAAAGATACAATAGTCAGCAACACCTGCAAGGCCCAGGACGGACTGTCCACTGTGCCGCCGTCTGTGGGGGAGTCAGGGGAGGAAGGGGCTGTGAAATCTGTATGTGCCTTCTCTGCACAGACCATCTCTGGAATATGCCTGAGACACTGATACCATTGGCCACCTCCATGCAGAACTGCAGAGGCTTTGTGCCAGGCAAACTCTTGAATCCTTTCTGAATGTCTGTGCTGTGTGACTAGAATAATAGGTTCCTACTCAGAAATCCAATGAAGCAGGAAAATTAGGCAATGATTTCTCCTGTGAAGTACGTCACTGAAGCCCTCCCACTCCCACCACCCCAGGGCCAAGAAGAGACTCCTGTGGCAGCTCCTCCTGTTTGCATTCAGCGTCTTAGGCCTGTACCTATACGGGCTCCATATTGCCAGGTACTCCCCCAGGGCCAGGGTTAAAGAGCATCTTTCCAGGGGCCTCCTAGAGGGAAGAAAGGTGGTAGCTGGCTTAGCCTGGGCAAATGTTCTGCTGACTCTCCTCCCCAAACAAGGAACATGCCAAATGCCCCTTCCTGTTTATCGCACCTACAGGTACTTAGAAGGCTTAGTCCCCATGGGCATCTGCCCCACAGCCACAAGGCTGAGGGACAACTTCACAGGTGTCCTGCGGCACTGGTAAGCACCCACCATTCTCCCACTCAGAATGTCCACAAACTGTACAGGTCTGCCCCAGGGCTCTGCCCTCTTCCACCCACACCCAGGCATTCTGTCTTCGGGAAGCCAGGAGCTCTACCAGGTCCCACATCCCCCAGTCTGTGTTTGGTTGGTTCTAAGCTAGGGGTTCTTAGGGACAGGTCTGTGAGTCCCTAGCACCGAGCAATGGGGACGTGGCAATGAGCAGGTGTCAAGCAGTTGGGTGGACAGAACTGTCTTTCCTGCTCCTCGTGCTCATGACCAGGGCCCGACCTGAAGTCCTGACCTGTACCTCCTGGAGAGCGCCAATTATTTGGGATGGCATCTTTGACCCACATGAAGCCGAGCAAGAGGCGAGACGGCAGAACCTCACCATTGGACTGACTGTCTTTGCTGTAGGCAGGTAAGGCCCAGGGAGGGGACCGTGCTTCTAGGCAGCGAGCAGGAGGGCATGCACAGGGGTTCATGGAGCCTTGTTCCACGCCGTAGGAACTCCTAGCGCAGCTACAGGCTGCACCCATTGTTTCAGACCCTTGGGAGAGCACAAAGGCACGTCTCCTGTCTCCTTCTTCCAGGACAGCAGTGCCAGAGTGCCCCCAGCCCAGTAGCCAGGGCTCAGAACTACTCCTAAAAAGGAACATGCCTGGGGTAGGTCTGGCACACACGGAGACACTGGGTTTGTAGTGAGGACAAAGAAGATCTTCTCGGGCTAATGAGGAGAAAAGGAGGCCAGCCTCTGGCCAAAGGAAGGGACTCAGTGTAGGTGATGCAGGAGTGTAGTGAGGCTTTGCCAGGGAAGGCTGATGAAGAGAAGGGTTGGGAGCTCAGGAATTTAGAACGGGGTGACTCCAGGCCAGGTAAAGAAGGACGTGAGCGTGGGTGGACTCGGAGAGTGACAGAACAGGCAATTGCCAGATCACAGAGCTGAGTGAGGTGGGACTCTTAGTGGGTGAAAGAGAAGGGTAAGCGAGCTGGATGAATGAGGGTCTTCTCACACAGGGACACAGTCCGGGTGACCATGTCAAGGGAGCAGCCACAGAAGCAGGTAACTGAGGAGGACAAAATCGTGGCAGGTGAGGCTCACAAAGGGTGGGCCTCAGGTGTAGGAGGAGCCGGGAGGGTGGGAGGGACAAAAGATAGGACATTGCCTTCCCACTGTGGGTAGGAGGGACAGTCCAAGGTGGTGGCTACTTTCCAAAGTGGTGCAAAGGAGACGCCTGGCTGCGTGTGGAACCGGACCTACAACCCTACGCCACAGAGCAGGGGAGTGCAGGATAGGTTGGGGAGTGGGCCAGCCTCCTGTGGACTAAAATGAGAATGCCCACCCAGGAAGAAAAACCCAAAAACCTGGGCAAAGAATTCTGGGCCACTGGATGTCCCAGAAAACTGTTCAAGGTTTCTCTAACTGCATCCCAAACCCCACATAAGGGAGAGAAAGCCTCTGGAGTCATTGCAACCCAAGGTGGCTGAAAGATCCACGGGGCTGGCCCAAGGGCAAGGAAGGGGATAGACGGCTGGACCGCTTAGTCTGTGGCAGCTCCTCCAGCCTCTGTGCCTGCAGCCATTAGGGGACCAAGAGAATGCTCTAGGGGCCAGAGGCTCCAGAAAGTGAGATTTCAGGACCCCTTCCTGGTGTGAATCCTACACTCTGAGATGCTGACCTGTGAGTCCAGATTTCCACAGGTCCACCAGAAGCAGAGCATAGGCAAGTCAAGAGTCTGGCCCCCAACTCCAAGCTGTAGGCTTGATTACTAGTCCTTCAAACTTCTGGTTGGTGTCCCAGGTTACCAGGGATGCAAACTGTCAGTATTCTGAGCACTCTGCTTGTCTGTGTAAAGAATGGCCACAAACATTATGACTTAAAATAAATTGCTACAGTCAGGAATTCAGGACCTCCCAGGAAGGACTCCACACAGCCAGCAGTCTGAGTCTCAACAGAAAGATGAACAACTAAAGACACACACCGATTCCTCTCACTCCAAACAAGCTCCCTCCATGGCTTGGGCTTTATATTAATTTACATTTCTATTGCTGTGATAGCATCATGACTAAAAACAATTTGGAGAGGAAAGGGTTTATTTCATCTTACTTCAGTTCGAAAGGACCAGGAAAAGAAGTCAGGGCAGGAACCTGGAGGCAGGAACTGAAGCAGAGACCATGGAGGAGTGCTGCTTACTGTCTTGGTCCCCACAGACTTGCTCAGCCTGCTGTCTTATACACCCCAGGACCACTCGCCCAGGGATGGACCCACCTAGAGTCGGCTAGGCCCTCCCACATCATTGCCTACAGGCCAATCTGATGGAGACATTTTCTCAATTGAGGTTTCCTCTTCCCAGATGACCCTGACTTGTGTCAAGTTGACAAAAAACCTAAACAGCACAGGCTTCCTTGCATCATAGCAGTCTCTGGTCCTGGGACCCCTGTAGCATGAATCTTAAAAAAAAGTTCTTATTAATAAAATCAAACCTGAAGCCAGTAATGGGGTGAACACTGGAAGGTCAGAGAGACAGAACAAGCCACAGCTAACCTCACCTGGCCAACTTCTCAGCTGGTCTTGTTTCCTCAGACTGGAAGCTTCTGTGTCCTCATTCCAATGGCTCTCAGCTGAACTGCTGCTCGAAATCCTGAATGCTTAATCAGCCAAAATTGCTTCTATTTTCTGGTCCTCACGCCTTATAAACCTTTCTGCTTTCTACCACCACTCCCTGGGATTAAAGGCTGCTTTCTGGGATTAAAGGCGTGAGTCACCATGCCTGGCCGTTTCCAATGTGGCCTTGAACTCACAGAGATCCAGAGGGATTTCTGTCTCTGGAATGCTAGGATTAAAGGCGTGTGCTAACATTTTCTAGCCTAAGTATCTTGTGGCTTTTCTGTTCTCTGACCCCAGATAAGTTTATTAAGGTACACAATATTTTGGGGAACACAATACCACCACAGACCCCCTTCCACAAGGCTCAGAGTACTGCAAACACTTCCTGTTCTCCAAGGATGGCCCAGCATTCTCAGTACTGTCTGGGTCAGAGGAGTCAGAACAAGTCGGTATTCAAGGGAACAGGGCAGGGCAACTCTTCCCTTCCAGAAGTGATAGACAGCTTTCAATCCCCTTTAATCCACCATTCCAAGGCTGGAGATCGGGGTTTGCTTGGCCCGGTGTGGGCAGGGGTGGAGGATGGCAGGACTAACTCTGGCCTGACCGCCTGGCAGGTACCTGGAGAAGTACCTGAAACACTTCCTGGAATCTGCCGAGCAGCACTTCATGGTGGGTCAGAGCGTGGTGTACTATGTGTTCACTGATCGCCCGGAAGCAGTGCCCTACATAGGGCTGGGTCAGGGTCGCCTGCTGCGGGTGGTACCGGTACTGCGAGAGCGCCGCTGGCAGGACGTGTCCATGGCGCGCATGCGCACGCTACACGAGGCTCTGGGAGGGCAGCTGGGGCAGGAAGCTGACTATGTGTTTTGCCTGGACGTAGACCAGCACTTCATCGGTAACTTCGGGCCCGAGGCGCTGTCTGATTTGGTGGCGCAGCTGCACGCCTGGCACTACCGCTGGCCGCGGTGGCTGCTGCCCTACGAGCGGGACAAGCGATCGGCTGCCGCGCTGGGGCTGGGAGAGGGCGACTTCTACTACCACGCGGCGGTGTTCGGGGGCAGTGTGGCGGCGCTGCGCAAGCTGACGGCCCACTGTGCGCTTGGCCAGCAGCGGGACCGTGAGCGCGGCATCGAGGCGCTCTGGCACGACGAGAGCCACCTCAACAAGTTCTTCTGGCTGTACAAGCCCACCAAGCTGCTGTCGCCTGAGTTCTGCTGGGACCAGAAAATTGGCTGGAAGCCAGAGATCCACTCCCCTCGCCTGCTCTGGGAATCCAAGGAGTATGCGCTGGTGCGAAACTAGCACGCTCCCCTGGACGGTCCGGGCGCAGGAGCATCTTTGGCACTGCGGGTGTGGAGTGGGGATCGCATGATGTTTCGAGACCATGAAGCCAGCTGGAGGCCGGTTACAGTGCCCCTGGAAGGGGGACTGTGGAGCTCAGAGGTCTTCAAAAGAGCTTCCTGTTCCTGGGACCCGTAGACTCTGTTAACCAATCAGCTGACTGGAGAATCCCTTTGCTCTAACCAGATGCAAATTATGGAAAGGCGAGAGGAAGCTCTTTGGGAGCCTACTTTGGCAACTCTTGTATGACAGGTGTTTGTCAGCATCAGCAGCAAGCAGGTGGGGGTCGCAAGGGACGCTTTCTGGTGTTAAAACTTTCGCCTGTCTTAGTCCTTGGCAGCAGCTGACATTAGTTTCTGCGTGGTCCTAGGTATCAGGGGGGTTCCCCAGACCTTGACAGTGCTTACAGCCACTGAGCCTTCAGTATCTGAGGCTTGACAGCTGTCTGGAAGCATTCCTGTGACCAGGGCCTTCAGTTTCTCTTCTCTTGGTCCTCAGCTCCTCCTCAGCCTCCGCGGTTCATCTTGTTCATGCTCCGGCCCCTCTTGTTCAACTGCCTCCACCTCCTCCATCAACGGGCTGCTGGCTTCCCACTTCTGCAGCTTGCCTGGCTGACCCAGTGAGTACTTCTCCTTGGGCTCCCAAGCTGTTGGCTCCCTTGTCGCTGGTGTGGTGTGGCCTGCTGACCGCTCAGCTAGCTGTAACCGCCCCTTTCATCTCCACTGCTCTGCGGGTCGCTATGCTAACACGTCTTTCATGCTACTAGATCACCCCTCACTCTTAAACATTGGCAAGACCATTCAAGAGAAGTCCTTTATGGGCCTAACAGTGCAATGCAGGGAAGCAGCATGGGAGTGTCGTCTTCCCCGACCCCACCCCCACTGGCTCACTAAGAGCAGCTGAACATCTAGTTCCATACAGGATAAATAATAGGATAAAAGGGTAGATTACTGAATTTATTCTGAAAAGAAAAAGGGGAAGATATAGAAATGATAAGATAAAAGGTAGATTATTGAGCCTACTTTTCAGAGTAGTCTGAAAAGAAAAAAGAGAGAATATGGATATGATAAGATTAAAAAAAGGTAGATTATTGAACCTACTTTTAAAAGGCAACTACTAGTTTTAAATATTTTACACTGGATTGGATTTTTGTACATTGTATACAAATTTTGTATTGGACTCACCCAAATAGGATAAATGATGAAATTTTTTGTCTAAATTTGTCAAATGTTAATGGACTGGACATTGTTAATATAATTCTTGACTGTATATATTGTATATACTTATTGTACTTATTGTATATAGTTTTTCTTATATTAGTTATAACTTTTATTTTAGACCAAAAAAAAAGAGGGAAATGTGTTGATATATTGTTTGTACTCTAACAAATAAAACTTATTTGGGGATCAGAGGACAGAGCCAGCCACTAGATTAGACATAGAGGCCAGACATTGGTAGCATACACCTATCACTTGGGAGGCAGAGATCTGGATCTCTGTGAGTTCAAGGTCACACTGGAAACAGAGCCAGGCATGGTGGCACACACCTTTAATCCCAGGATTTGAGATCTCATGTCTTTGCTTGGGAAGGACACACGCCTTTAATCCCAGGAAGTGATGGCAGGAAGCAGAAAGGTATATCAGGCGTGAGGACCAAGAACTAGAAGCCTTTTAGCAGCAGTTCAGCTAAGACCGTTTTGGGTGAGGACTCAAAGGCTCCTCAGTCTGAGGAAACAGGATTGGCTGAGGAGTTGGTGAGGTGGGGATGGCTGTGGTTTGTTCTGTTTCTCTGATCTTTCAGCTTTTACCCCAATATCTAGCTCCAGGTTTTTTATTAATAAGAACGTTTAGCAATTTGTGTTACAGAGATGTATGAACCAACCCAGCTTTATGTCTCTGCCATACTCACAGAGTCCCTTCTACTAGACCTCCTCTCTGTATGGGAATGGTTATGGAGTCTTCTAGATCTCACAAAGGCTTTGACAGCCAAAAGCCTGTTTCAAATAATCATGGTTAAGGCTGTGCCTTCAAGGAGCCGGTCACCAGCTGGGGCTGTTGTGTGGCATTCTCAAGGTGTCCGTGGACTGTGCAAGGAGGCTGGTGCTGGCATGAGGGTGTCTGGATGGCTGTTTGGCTGACATCCTTTGCTTAGGCAGAAAGGGAGAGTCCGACATCTGCTAATGTGGAGTCAAGTTGCCCCTCCTACGGCTTTGCTTATTTACAGGACAATGAGCATCAGAGGGAATGTTTACGGTAAGGGCTCCAAGAACTTACCATTAACAATGGCAGTGATTTGAAGAGATTTTTGACATTGCTTCACGCTACCCAGGGCCCCAGGAAGGGATGCGTCCCCTTCCCCCAGTCCCTTTCACCTCTGACCTCACTGAGTGCATCTTTTGAAGTAATTAAGAGACCTGGGCACAAAGAGGGACCCAAACTGACCAAACACAGGATCTGTTCAAGTTCTTGATGTCAGCAGCAGGAGAGCGAGGTTAATCCCTCTTGCCCAGCCCAATCCTTCAGGAACTAGCCACTGAGAAGGGACAGCAGGCATTCCCGTCGGGGGCTCTGCCGTGGTATCACCCCCAGTCTGCAGCATAGCTTGTGCATATTTGAGGAATACTATAATAAACAAGAGATTTAAAAACGGTCCTTATAGCAGCTGGGCAGCAGCGGCGCACGACTTTAATCCCAGCACTCGGGAGACAGAAGCAGGTGGATCTCTGTGAGTTCGAGGCCAGCCTGGTCTACAGAGCGAGTTCCAGGACAAGCTCCAAAGTCACACAGAAAAACCCTATCTCGAAAAACCAAAAAGATCCTTAAAGTATTTTCTACTATAGAGTGAACATTAAAAAACAAAACAGGGGCTGGAGAGATGGCTCAGAGGTTAAGAGCACTGACTGCTCTTCCAAAGGTCCTGAGTTCAATTCCCAGCAACCACATGGTGGCTCACAACCATCTGTAATGAGATCTGGTGTCCTCTTCTGGCCTGCAGTCATACATGCTGTATACATAATAAATAAATAAATCTTTAAAAAAAACAAAACAAAACAGAAAAGGGAAAGTAGGAAAGAGGGAGGAGGGGGAAGAAGAGGTGGTGGCTGAATTTCCTCATGCATGCCCGCACTACTGTTCTCATTCTCTGTAAGAAAGACACAGGATGCTGAGGAGACTCAACTATGTGTCTGCTAGCAAGCATGAATGCCTGAGTTCAGATCCAAGGGACCCAGCAGGCATACTGGCACATGCTTGTGGAGACAGGATGATCCTGCCTGACTTTGTATTTTAGCAGCCTCCACTGCTCTCAAGTAGGGCAGTCACTCTAGCTATTTGTCTGACCCAACTCTGATGATGTTTTACAATCGGATACTGTTTACGAGCCGGTTCTGGTATTGATTCCAGTCCTGAGCAACCCATCCTTTCTGCTTCCCGGGGTCTTCACCAGGTGAATGAACGCCAAGCCCCGTAGTGACTTGGACTCTGAAAGAGGGGCTGAATGGACCAAGTGTGCTTAAAGGCAGGTGGGTGCTGGCTATGAGCTGGCACAGTCCTCTCGTGGGACAATGCTCACCCTCCACCTCGCCCTGCAACCTTCACCAGTTCTAACAAGCTCCGCCCCACTGGAGCGTTGACCATGAGCCAGGAATATCTTGTAAGCTTTCCCAAGTCTATGAACGCTGTGTGATGTAGGCAAGTTTCCTACCTATGCAGGGTATCAGCTTATTCACAGGAAACATGGGGAAGCCAGGAATCCTCCTTGCAGTGTGGGGGAGGGGAGAGGAGGGGGTGCCATGATGCTTCAGTAAACATCTTGCCCTCCCCCCTCTCTACCTGTCCCCATTGCAAGCAAGGTCACAGAGTGTAAGGGATTCTCCTAAGAATAGAGGATCCCGGGGCTGGAGAGATGGCTCAGAGGTTAAGAGCACTGGCTGCTCTTCCAAAGATCCTGAGTACAATTCTCAGCAACCACATTGTGGCTCACAACCACCTGTAGTAAGATCTGATGCCCTTTTCTGGCATAAAGGTGTACATGCAGATAGAGCACTCACAAATAAAATAAATAAATCTAAGAAAAAAATTAAAAAAAAAAAAAGCCGGGTGGCGGCGGCGGCGGCGGCGGCGGCGGCGGCGGCGGCGGCGCACGCCTTTAATCCCAGCACTTGGGAGGCAGAGGCAGGAGGCCATTCTGGTCTACAAAGCGAGTTCCAGGACAGCCAGGACTGTTACACAGAGAAACCCTGTCTCAGAAAAAAAAAAAAAGACTAGAGGACCCCAGATTTCTAGGGGAGTAAGGAGCATGAGCAAGGATTTCCAAGACCCATACCACGGGCAGCCATGTGCTGCTGAGGGAGACCCTCTGAGGAGCAAGGAGAGGATGCAAGAAACTATAGGGTGGAACAGGATGGCATCTTCTCGGGAACAGGAAAACCTCACTTCTACAGAGATTTTTCTGGTTGCCACCATTGTCCTTGCGACTATAGGACTCGCCCACACATTCCCAGGGGAGGAGATGAAAATCAGAACCTTGGTTCCTTGGGCATCAGCACTCCAGGCAAAATCTAGGTGTGGCCCAGGTACCCTACACTGCCCAGAAACTCCCGAACAGCTCCAGCCGTCTAGGGACCAGAAGGGCTAGGCCGAGTGCTAGCAAGGTCCAGACTTACATGCAGGGCTACTGATGCTACGTGACAGGCACAGGTTCAAGCATTTCAACCTGCTGGTTGACTTGGCCTTGCATCCACCCTACTAAGTGATTGCTATTACCTATCACATTTGACACAAAGATGCCATCAGGCACAAGTAACTTAGTCACTGTCACACCACTAGAGGACCAGAACAAACAGGAAATGAAATATGGCAAGAGATTGAAGACCGAAAGTCTCAGGAACTGAGGCAATCACTGCTCTAGTCTCCTGGGGTCATTTCTCTGGCCACAAACTCTGCCTCCTTTCTCTTCTGCTTGAGTCTGGCCAAACACAGCCACGCCAGCACCTCGTCTCTAGGGTCTTCCAGTACAGTTGTCTACCATCTCCTAACTTCTTCCTGACACATGGAGTGGAGAAGCTGACTGGAGAGGCAGCGCCATACAATGACGAGCTGGTAAATACTTAGCCTCTGGCTCTTCAAGAAGACAGGAGACGGTTCAGTTGGTCAAGCACTTCCTGCGCAAGTGTGAGGACCTGAGTTCGATCCTTAGAGCACATATCAAAAAGCTGAGTGTGGTGAGTAGCAGTAACTCCAGGGCTGTGGAGACAAAGACAGGCAGGTTCCTGTGCTCCTGGCCAGCCAGTCTAGTCAGTGAGCCTCCGGGACACGAGAGAGCCTGGCTCAAAAAAGAGAGATGGCTCAGTGGTTAAGAGCACCGGCTGCTCTTACAGAGGACCTGAGTCCAATTCCCAGCAACCACATGGTGGCTCCCAGCCATCTGTAATGAGATCTGGCGCCCTCTTCTGGCCTTCAGGCAGAACACTGTATACAAAATAAATAAATCTTAAAAAAAAAAAAAAAGTAAAGACTAAGGAAGTGGACAGAGCCTGAAGACTGGCACTCAGGGTTAGCCTTTGGCCGCCACACTGGTGGACACGCGGACACGTCATGGCTGAGGACAAGCCACCAACACTCCTGAATGTGTAATTGGGAAGAGATGTGTACCATCTGTTCTTATGAGCCAAGCAGCTGCTGTACCACTGGCTGCCTCTGTGTGTGTGTGTGTGTGTGTGTGTGTGTGTGTGTGTGTGTGTGTGTGTACTTACTGAGTCACCTCTGGCCAATCAAGTGTGGATAACATAGGTAATGAGGTAACGTGACAGATAGGGCTGCCAGAGTCCCGCTCTTTCCATCACAGCAGAACACAAAGGTCAACCTTAGAGGAAGACCCCAGGCCTGTAAGGTTACCAAAACCATGGTGGTTCTGTGCAAGACCACCCGCTCATCCATTCTTGGTTCAATGGTAAAACATTGATATCACATCAATATGAAGTGCACCCCCAAAAGGCTTGGTCCTCAAGGGTGGAGCCAACTCCTGAGATACAACTGTAGCTTGAAGGCTCTAACCTAGTCATTGGATTAATCCATTCACACTCATGATTTGCTGACATTTGGGGGGAGCCTGGTTGGAGGAAGCAGGCCCCCCGAGAGGCCTCTGAAGGGCATGGTGACTCTCACACCTTTCTGTCTCTCTCACTCTGAGGTGAGCAACTGTGCTCTTCCAAGCCCTTCCATGGGGATGCTCTGCCTCCCACAGACCCCGAAACAATGGAACCAGCCAGCCATGGGCGGTGCGGCTGACAGAAACCATCGACCCAAGCCCATCTCGCCTCCTGTAAACCATCTGCCACTTGTCACAGGATGAAACGTCTGCACACAAAACAATTTCTACCAGAGAACTAGGCCATCGCTGTGACTATCTGCA